GACTGACAACAGTAAATATTTCTTTTCAGCTTGGAAGCGTGTTTTATAATATTTGTCGTTTGGGAGTCAATAACATACTGTCAGTGAAGAATTTGATTTGGGACTTTGATGTACCTTTATGAAAAGATTTACTACTGAATACAAATGTGCATGTAAAATGTGATTAGAACGTTTTAATATGAACAGTTGCACTGTCATTGACTCAATATATTTTAATGTGGGACAAACATTAAAAAACATTAAAGTACTGTGCCAAGTGACAAAATTCCATGCCGACCATGGGTTACGTATGTATGCATTTTTATTAAACGTTTATACCAATATACACTATTTTAAACCTTTGTGTGTGAATTTTGTGTGTTGATTTTATGATATTTGACAACCATGAATATTAATAATATAATATGTTAACAGCAAGTTTACAGTATATTGTATAATACAAAAGCAATATCACTGATATTATCACAAGACTCAAGTACTGTACATGGTCTAATAGATGTTTCTTAGTCAGCAACTATGCTCTTTGACATTGTGGCAATCAGGTATTCTTGGGGCTTTTAGCTTGGTTTTTCACTTTTTTGATACAACTATAGAATACCCACAACTTTCACACCTTACCGCTATTAATTCCTTGTAAACCAAACTAACATACTCATATGATTTAATCTCTAAACTTTACCTTAAACTATTTTGAAGTGATTCTTGTACTTATTTATGTGTCAATGAATGCGGAAAAATGGCGAGGTATTCTATAAGCATTCCGGCATGTGCATGTGTTTTTGAACCTTCACTGTTGAGAGAGCATGCCACGGGTCTCCCCAAATTATCTGAGCACTTCAACCAGACCAACAGCTGCCAAATGGCAACTATGCTCAGAGGTGTAACTTAACACTTGCCCGGGGCAAGTGAATATCATGATGGGCAAGTAAAAGTTTCCTCTTGGTTGCCCGAACGGGCAAGTTGCTTTGCCACAAAAAGCTGGCCAGCTTTCAGTTCATATTATTATTGTCGGATAGAATAAAGGCTGTTCGACGATATTGGTTCAAGCTGGCAAATCATCTGCATCAAATTCATCTAAATTGTTTGGTTATGTTATGCATTTGATTCTCTTTTTGGTTATTAAATGTTTATTCATAATATGATAACCGAACGAAATATGGCAGGACTTCATTTATGGCAGGACTTAATTTGGGACTTTATTAGTCCTCTTGTCTGTGCCTTCAATTTCTTATTGTAAAACTAACAAAAAAATAAATAATGGTGATTAGTGTTACATTAAACAAGTGTACTTGATTCAAATTTTGTTTAATATGTGAGCCAAAGCTAGATCTGAGGTAGTTTAGATCTGAGGCAGTAACATATAGCCAATGCCACTAGTCCAATGAGTGGATATGTTGTCTCTCTAATTTATACTGGCCCGCGTAGGTACCCCATTGCTTGATGGCAAGTGGATTTTATTCAGGGCAACCAATTTTCATGTCCAACTTGCCCTGAGGGCAAGTGGTCAAAAAAGTTAAGTTGCACCACTGATGCTGTATACAAATTATATACCTGAAAGGTAACTTACATCATATTGTGTCTCTAATACTAATACTTGTATTCTCACAGTGTATTAAGATATACAAATGCACTTGTGATGCCCAAAGAATTGCCACAAAAAACCCCATAAACCACAAATCAGTCAATTTCAGTAAGTAGGGCACACTGGAGCACTGGGTTAACTAGAGATATTGTCAGATTTTGGTTAATAACCATAATTGCAAGAGGTCAGTACAGTCTGTAACAATAAGTAATTCAGGAATTCACACAGTTCTCAGTAGTTAAATGATTATCGAATTTCATGTTAAATGATTATCGAATAATGTTGAGCATCAAGAATACATGTATAATATCCTTCATACATTTATAATAATATTCAGGCTAAATATCATAGTTATTATTTTATGTACTATATAGTTTTATCAGGTATAAAGATACGAGGTGAAGCGAAGTACCTTTAGGTCTGATAAAGCATACACTGCGAATGTTTTAAATTGCTCAACTAATGGTCACCAACAACAAATAGTACTTTATTACAAGGCGGCAAAATGTATGTATATTAAAAGAGATGAATAATCTTGTCACTTGATACATTTGACATCAGGTGTCTTGTATTTGTCCAGAAGAGACCCCTTGTTATTGTATCATGTTTTGAGAATGAGTTCAATTTTGATATTTGTTGTTGATCTGAGCAAAATATTGATTATTGATTTGCCTACTGAGGTACACATTATTGAACAGTCAGTTGTGGTGAGTGATGCTGAACTGCCTGTTGTATGTTGTGAGTGATTTTGAGCGCCTGTTGTGATGAGTGACACTGAATTGCCCCAATTGTGGCTCAGGAAATGTACCTGCTGACTTGTCAAATAATCTCCTTAAATAATGTTCTGGGAAGTAATTTGTGTAATTGATTACAAACAAAAACAAGAGCTTGTTAACAGTATAATGAGGAAATTAATTCCATCTCATTATATTATTCAGCCTTGATAAAGCATATGGAGGCTTTCTGTCTGATTTGACCCTCATGCATGTAATTGTTTGGGAATGCCTGATCATTAAGATCACAACATTTGTTTTGAAGCTTGGCCTTTGAAATCTAAACCCAAAGCATTATATGTGTGTTCACAATGTTCTTGGGATAAGAATGAAAATCAAATAAAATATTTCAACTCAATTAAATTCAGGAAATGTTAATTAACCATGGAGGTCAACCGGGTTATACTCAGGGCATATGGCTAACATAAGCATTTAAATTCCAAGTGCATACGATGTTGACATTCCTTGTTTTTCAGACATTCTTTGGGTCTTGTACTCCCTTTAACTGTTAAATATACTGTATGATATTGACATTTGCAAGAAAGATCTATTGTAGCAACAATAACTATTAAATGTTTTGATGATCATGGATATGGTGTATTGAGCCCCATATTATTAAATTAAAGTGATTTTACATATCTGTTTCACAATCGAGGCAGCTAGCAATTTCCTTGCGACAGTATTCATAGTATAAATACTTCTATCGATCCATTCGTTTTGCACTGTTGCTTTGTCTATTTAATAGATCTCCTTTACAGTTCAACCAAGGTTCTCATAGCTAATTTGAAGACAATTTCAAATTTATTCAATATTTTTGGAAGAACTTTAACAGATTTTTTCATTTTAAAATAGATTTTTGTTCTTTATTTGTCGATTTCGGTGTTTATGCATTATATTGACGAATATATTGTAGCTAAAGCGATCCGCGATCGCACCCCCCTGTATAGTATTTGCTCCGATATATCACGTGACAAAATAATCCACAATTTGTGGATTATTTCACCAGCCTTTACCAGGGCCTTTGCTGCCCTTCGCATCTTTCTTTAAAAGGCCCTGGGGACGAGGTTGGTTAACTTGCTAAATATCGAGGTCAAAAATTCTGATTCTGCATTTATAAGTTAGTATAGCATGTGTAATAATATGTGAAATTTTCCGAACATGAGCTCCAGCTTTGAAATGACTATATGAGTAAATTCTTAAACACGTCCGAATTTATCATTATCATAAATTCGCGGCACATTTTGAATTCATCAACAGAGTTAATCATAAAACCACAAGCTGATTAGACAAGGCTTTTTGTTATAAATGTAGGCCTAATGGCACTAAAAGCGAGCCGCAGGCCGCGCGGGGGTGGAGAGGTTTTCATGATTTTCAAAAAAAGTTTAAAACGTTTTTAGAAAAGTTTTGGAAAGAAAAAAGTTGAAAAAGTTAGATTTTCAAAAAAGTTAATTAAAAAAGTTAGATTAGGGTTAGTGGTTAGGGGTCGAGTTTAGTGTTAGGGGTTATATATAGATGCCGCGAATTTATCATTATGATAAATTCAAAATGTGCCGGGAATTTATCATAATGATAAATTCGGACGTGTTTAAGAATTTACTCGTATAGTAAATTCAAAGGTAAAGCTCATGCTGGAAATTTTCACGAGGGAAATTTTCACATGCATTACAAATGAGATAATGGGGTCCAAATATTGCAACAAAATCCCCACACTTGGGGATTTACATTGACGCAAATAATGCAACAAAATCCCCACCCTTGGGGACAAAATATAAGTTTTCTGTGGATTTTTGAACCAAAAAATTGAATACACGCTCTATCTCGTATCAATATACTGTATTAGTGTATTTAGAATAAATTCTGTAGCCATTTCGTTTCAAAACTTTTTGATTAAAATATTGAAGTCTAAAAACTTGATATAACAATATCAAAATTCGGAAGTAAGTCAAGGTATCAACAGCATCACTATGGACAAGAAAAAAGTCTAAATGTGTATGTCTGCCATGATTAATTCGCAATACGCACGCACGTGTAAACGTGCGTACGCATTAAAATACGGCTAAATGGCGAAACAAGCGACAAATATTCGACTTTTTAGCCTCGAGCAACTCCCTACCCCGGGTCTAACCTGCAGAAAGCAAATGCCCGACCCTGGGAACAAGTACAGTCGAAAATGCCCGACAAACGCCCGGGGGGAATGGGCACCCATGTCAGACCCAGTTTATATTTTGCCTGCAACTATATATGTACTCATGTTACCATTACATTATTTTTACCTATTTTTATATTATAGGGGTTCTATCCAATTCTGCTCGTCCAGGCCCTGCTTATATTTCACCTGCAAAAACTCATTAATAATTCAGGAGCAAAACACAAAGAAAAATCATAAGCGTGTCGTGGTTTTATATGTGATAAAAAATCACGTTAATTTACATAAACTTTAGCTTTGATTTTCTCGGTTTAGACAAAGTTTATTTTAAAAATTACTTCGCCAATGAACTCGTATAAGATGAGTCGTTTTTGATATGCGATAAAACACTCCTACGCGTGCTTTAAATAGTACTTCAACCATTATGTCATAATATGTAAATTAGAAGCTATTTTCATCTTCTGGGAATTCCCCATGGGAATTCCCGCAATCTGTTAGACAATACAATACAATACACACAATAGACATTGGTGGGCAATACTGCTGAGTTAAAAACCTTATTTTCCTTTGTTCGACGATTCCGAAGATCTTCTCCCAGTTGACTACAGGTATGTCGAACCTTGTTATTCGAAATCTAGAGTGACTTGTATCTGCATGGTATAAAGGTAAATATATATAAAATGAATCCAATCAGTTTTATATTGTCCACCTCGTAGTGAGGCGAATTATTTACGCAGTACGTAGTTGGCATCTCATGTCTCAATGTTGAACTAAATATAACCCTAAATTTAACAATAGTAACTGGTACTTTAGCCGTGGACGTTTTTGCTTATGGTACAATGGGGATTTGTCCGGCATACACGACAATGTCGTTCAAGGTTGCCAACATTTTTAAAGGAATATCAAGTTATCGTCGCGTTTTTCCTAGATTAAAACCGGCTATATTTAATGCATACGTTTTAGTTGATTTGTCAAATAATGCATATTACATAAGTCGAAAGAATTATTACAAATAAATCCTTTATTCTTTAAAAATATTAAGTTCGTTTTTGATCAATAGTCAATATTATACGTAATTGCGGCACTTCCTGTGCAGATTGAATTTCCAGGAATTTTGCATGACTTATAATTGTCAACGAATTCTGAAAATTATGGAATATACCGACACGAAATGAAAGATCGATAGCTTATATTTACGTTTTGACTATGGGAGTCCGCATATAAAAAATCTAGCTTGTTCAAAAGTTTGATGCGCACCGCATTCATGTATTATGGTAATGTCAACAGCGGTATATACAGCTAATATACATAAAGATGTTTAAAGATTGTGCGCAGTTCTAAAATTAAATGTTCACAAAGCTGAAAATTCCGCAAGGTGGTTGCTGATACTCCCTGCCTAAAAATTTTAGAAACCTTAGTTCAGTTTTGATGACGAACGAAGGCCTAGTACCTCAGAGGGATATATATGCTATTTCGAAAGTCTATATTATTAGACATGTGTTTAATTAAAAGTGCTCTTAATTATGTACTATATATTTCTGTTGATGTAACCATGCAGATATTGGTTCATTGTTCCGTTCAAAGAACTCTTTGAGCCAGGACATTTTATTCAAGCAGTTTTGGAAATAAGAGCACATGTATAACATATATAAGCCATATGTTCCTGCAAACACATTTATATGAATTTATAATGCCCTGATACAGCCTTACTTCGATTACTGCTCTCCCCTATTGAGGTGTCTGTAACAGTGACGTGCTGGCAGGGGGCGGGCGTGGAGCCGCAGCCCCCTCCCCCCAGCTGGCAATTCTTTGGGAGGGGGAGCAAAAATGAAAAGGGGGAGCCGATCCCACGCCGAATTTTGAAAGTGGGTAGGAAAAACATATTCGAAAAAATATAGTTACATCCGCCAAGAAAAGATGTGTTTATATAGGCTTATAAACAGACTAAGCGCATAGGCGACAAAGTGATATATTAAATTACAGACTATTTTGTCTAACCGTATTTCCTAATTTGCTACCTCACGACTCACACGAAATCGTTTATATAGAAACATGATCAGTGATCACACGCAACGTCTCATTACCGGAATATTAATTGGTCAAGTTTCGAAGCGGTCACGGGAATTGTGCCCTTTTTTGCTGTCGGTAATATGCCCTTATACTCTTTATTATGACGAATCATGAGAGCGGCGCAAATTAGATAGTTGAAGTTATGATAATGTAAAGTTGTGTACACAATTTAGTTGTTTGCGCAAGAAACATCATGAGTAATGTAAGTAATGAAATTATGCTGAAACACGCCCTTAAAATGCGGAAACCTTAAAATGTATATGCGTGGGGTCCGTGTGTTATTGTGAAAAGAGCAGTAAGTTGTAAATGTGTTCAGATCACTAAATCAGTAGAGAATAGAATCGGGATTATATATATATCAATGGCTGGAAGTAGTTAGCATTGCTTAATTTAAGTACTACTACTAAATTCTAACCATATTGCAAATTTCGACACGTTATAATGCCGTTCCGTGACTATCAGATTTCTGTCAAATCTTCCCCCAAAGTCCAGGAAATGGCGTTTCAGGACTCTAAATTCAAAAATTTTCCTGGGGGCATGCCCCCGGAAACCCCTAGACAAACCTCGCAGCTGTGGCGATCGGCCCGTGCCTTCGGCTTTCGTTTATCAAGCGTAACATTATAGGGGCATTATATTGGTTGACAAACAGAAAAATAGTACAGAAAAATAGTACCCAGCACGGTCTGTAACAAAACACTGTGAGATAATTTACAAAAGTTCCAAAATCAGGACGCCGGCGCCAGAATAATTGCTGGCGCCAGTTATGAGATCAGATCTGTTGACATCCTTCGATCTCTTGACTGGAAAAATTTGGACTCAAGATGGTACTTAAAGTGATTCAACTCACTTGCGTGACGTCAGAATAAATGCTAGTGCCAGACTTCTGTCGCCGACGGCCATTAGACGGCCATTAGCTAGTTATAGTGAAAATCATTTTTTGTGTCAGGGGCACTTTAACTCATATCGATCCGTGTTACTCAATTTCCGTAATATATGACGGAAAGAATGAATATTACAGAACTCTGCGAGTAATTGCAGTAGAAATACGAAAATACCACAAAAAAATTTAACTAAGCCAACATTCTTATATAAAGTCTTGAGTAATAGTGCTACACCGACTCTGAAAGATTCATTCGTAATTAGGAATATTTTACTAAAGAATTATATAATCTTAGAAATTCTCGAACTGATCTGGCCTTTCCAAAGCCAGACAAGAGAATTTCTCAAAAGAAGCTTTAAATATATAGCGGTGCTTATCTTTGCATGGAATAACCTTCTGCTTGAAGCTAAGCAAACTCAACTTACTTAAAAGTTTTATATATTTACTTACTTAAAAGTTTTATAAAACAAAATATTCGATGTTAAGAATCCAGTCTGGATTCTTTAATCATATCTTTATCTGGGACACACCACCGTAAATTACTGTAGCTTTTAATAATCTACATATAGTAGTATACTTAGTTTCCTTCCTTTTTATATTCTTTAATTTGTAATATTTTAATAGGACGCCACTGTGGAAATCAACTTTCGTAGTTGTCGGTGCTAGCGTCGTAAAATAAAGCGTGTAATAAAATGTTATTGCATCTTATTTGTCAAATTCCTAACCTCACTTATAAACAGCTATATAGACAGGAATCGATAAGTCTATTTTAATTGTTAATAAATCTAATATGAGAACTTTGTATACCAAACAAGCATACAGTGATCTTTTATCATTTCTTAGGCAATACTTATAGCAGCCCTTATCAGTGAATGAAGCGGAATGAAGTGGAATTTTGCGACGACCAAGTCAATCATTCAACTCATAATTGCTCTAATTTGGTGTGGAGTGGTCAACAGTGCACATGGCATTGGTAATACTATAGAAATAGATACACATGCAGCAACCCCTTGCCATAATTAAGCAATTAGCCTATATTTCCTAAAATTTGCTTCAACAATACTGATATTCTTCGGTACTGATACTGTACTGATATTCTTCCGGTAATATATATTCTGCAGAACCTGCCTCACTCGGCTGATTAAATAACAAATGTAATACTTCAACAGCCTATATATCAGGGTGTATCATAAAAAACGGAGTCCTCGCTTCAAATATAAATTTCGAAACTAATATTAGAGTAAAACGTTCGGGTTTACATTTGTTTTAAAGCATAGACATTCAGCTTTCTAACGATGGGTTATTTCGTAAATTTAATCCAGTAGTTCGTGAATAATAGTATTTTAAGTGATTGCGATTGGAGAGTCAAAAATTTGAGATGCAATAACAAATCGGTACTTGATGAAAATAACTTATTTTGTCAAGAAAACGAGCAAATTGAGGCATTTTGGCAATAGCTTGTAAAAACTAAGTAATAAAGGCTTCCAATACACTATTTTAAATTCACTTGCTGACTTCAAATGCGTTTATATTCCCAGCTGAAGCGTGTTTTAGCTTGCCGTCAACTTGCTAATTTATGTTTACATTGCGCCCGATTCGATGGCGTTAGTTCGGACGATGCATCATGAACATAAGATTGTTTTGATGATTTCTGGAAATAATTTAGGATTTTGAAATAAATAAAACAACCTAATCTCTTTTAGAATGTTTTTAACAAGTTTTTACTGGTTTTTCTGATGTGGCAACAAGAACATTAAATTTTGAACAAGAAAATTCAAACATTGTAACCGACTATGGAATATCATAGTAATTTGGATAATTAAGCGGCATCTAAAAATTATAGGTTTTACTAAATTTTCTTCTGTGCAGTTATTACTTGCACTAAAGACACGGATGACTATTTGTTCGAAAGATAAATGAGCGGGCCTTAAAATAAGACTAAAACCGTTTTATTAAATATAGCAAGCCGATAGTTATTAAGTACAAAAGATGGACTCCGTTTTTTTCTGATACACCCTGTATAGGACCTACATTTGGCTAAAGCCAAAACTTTCAGACGATAGGAAGAACACTGTTTGCAGTACTTTAAAAAAGCATGCAACACGAAGGTTTTTTGCTTATCCAATCTTTAATTGTTAAAGTTTATTTGAATCCTGAAACCACATCTGAGATTCGTCTGTGCATGTGCCACATGGAATGATATGATATATCATGACATTATTGGGGAAGGCCCCGACAACATGCAGGTTATGCGCGGCTTTTAAGTCACGCATCCTTTTGTTCATGTTATATTTCAGTATAGTTAAACAGTTTGTTCACATATTGTTTGTTTTGCCCTCTGATGCAAAGACGAGACAGAATTAGAGAAAATATTAAAAGAAATGTACTTGGCTGATGCAAGATCATACATTAACGAAAATGGTGTTTGGGGCATTGAAGAGTTTCTCAGGAGAAAACTTGAAGGGTGGAAAGAAGTGAAAATACGATTTGCCATAACAGGAGATAGTGGCTCAGGAAAATCTGCCTTTATCAACGCAATAAGAGGGTGATATTTTTATGCTTATTACTTTCCAAAACTGGGCTCCTCCCCAAAATATGTGGATTATATATATATATATATATATATATATATATATATATATATATATATATATATATATATATATATATATATATATATATATATATATATATATATGTAATATTTAAAGCACTTGTAGTCGTGTTTTATCACATATAAAACACGACGCGTAGCGGAGTGTTTTATATGTGATAAAACACGACTACAAGTGCTTTAAATGGCTTCAAAAACGACTCATCTTATACGAGTTCATTGGCGAAGTAATTTTTAAAATAAACTTTGTCTAAACCGAGAAAATCAAAGCTAATTTAAAGTTTATGTAAATTAACATGATTTTTTATCACATATAAAACCACGACACGCTTATGATTTTTCTTTGTGTTTTCCTCCTGAATTATTAATGAGTTTTTGATATATATATATATACATATATATATATATATATATATATATATATATATATATATATATATATATATATATATATATATATATATATATATATATATATATATATATATATATATATATATATATACATACATACATAATGAAAAATGAAAAAATGAAAAATAAAAAAAATTTCAAAAATTTAATGTGCTGCTACTTAAGTTTCACGTTTTAGTCTGTTATCAACTGTTGGAATTATAAAGCTCTTCCATTGACATCCAGGCAATATATTTGGTACAGTTGCTATTTCGCTTTTTCCTGCGAAGCTTGGCATGCCCCAGTTTGCTGCCCATATTTCATATAATTCGTGTACACTGTTGTAATCTGCTTCAAAGCTTACATCATGTAATGTATACTGCATTTTCTTTATTTGATATGTTTGAAATGCTTTAAACATTTCACCTATTGCTGGTACACTTGCGATGGTATACCAAGCTACTGTGCTAATTACATAAAATCAATCTAAATAAAACCTATTGGGACCTGTGCGAGTGTTCAACTAAAACTGATTTAAAATTTGAAACTTAGTAAATTAATTCAAAACCTACTTAAAACCTATGCGTAATTGTTAAAACCTCTCGAGCAAATGATTTATGTTATCTCGTTCTTATAATTTTGTATGTAAAATTTGTTTTCATGTCTACATTTGGAGATAAGTTTGTCTCGTGTGTTCAAAAGGCGTGCGTTTCGTCCTTTCAAGATGGCTAGCTTTTCACAGAGGCATAACCCGCATTCGTTGAATCCGTTATGCCTCTGTGAAAAGCTAGCCATATATATATATATATATATATATATATATATATATATATATATATATATATATATATATATATATATATATATATATATATATATAGATAGATAGATAGATAGATAGATAGATAGATATGTACAATAATATATATGCATATATATATATATATATATATATATATATATATATATATATATATATATATATATATATATATATATATATATATATATATATAT